ATTGGCTATTTACTTTAAGATAACTGGATACCCGGTAACCGATTTTATTAAAAAATAAAAAAATAAAAAAAACGTAGTTTTTTAATTTTTTGTTTACTTTCAATTTTCAAAGGGCAAAAGCCCTAAATACCTTATGCCCTCAAATTTTAGCCCTTCATTGCGTCAGGTCCCGCATAGCCGCACTCATCTCTCTCACTCTCAAATTCTCCAGTTTGCATCTACAGTCTCCACTCTCCACTAAAGTCTAAAAATTCTCCACTAATCCATTGAAATTTTCTTCTTCAGACTGCAAATTATAGAAAGTAGAAACACTCCAATTGCTTCTAAATTGATCTCAACATTGGGCTTCACTTTGCTCCAACTCCATCATCTTTCTGCACTGCTGTCGCTGTCACCGGCGTCGTTGGCTTGATTTTCAGTCTCCATCTCCAAGGTAAATATTTTCAGTCATTTTATGTCATCTTCACTTGCTGACCATGTGTTATATATGTCACTAGGTGCTTCCGGCAAAGGATTAGATGCTAGACCTTTTGAATTGGAGTAGTGCAAGATGGCAACTCCAGTCACTTTTTGCCAAACTGATTCATTCACAAATCTAGCACTGGCCACAATGTAATAATCAGAAGTTGCATTCTGATCCATTGTGACTAAGAACGAATAAGATTGACACACATGAATTTCAAAGCTGGTATAATTCTGCTACACTGTGTGATTTTAATCAAATTCGGGTCTTTGTGACCTGAATATTCGGGTACCCGTAAAACTGGGTATTCTAAAAACCGGTTCGGTTTGCGAGTACCTTTTTAGGGGTACCCGAACGGTTTTTGGTCAAAATCGGTGCAGTGCACCCGGTTTTGCACAGCCCGCCAATTCCAATTTAAAACAGATCAAGTCAGGATCTAGATCAGCGGAACCCTAACATTTTACTTTTCTAACATTGACCACCCCAACTCAAAACAGAACAGAAGAAGGCAAGCTACATTTGATCTTGTGACAGTGAAACCCTAACATTGAAAGATGTTGAGAGTTGCAAGGAGGAGGCTCGCATCTCAGCCGTGGAAGCCACCACATACAACCTCTGCCTTCCTCGCCGGAAACACTCCCCTTAATCATCATGCCGCCGCCGCCGCCGATGCTGACGCCGACAACTCCAGATCCACTAATTCTCCTCTTCCTTTCGCTTTCCCTTCCCGCTTTAAGAATCTAATCAGAGGTTTCACTTCTACCTTTCACTTTCCTTTTTATGTTTTGGATAAATTTCATGAAGTCCACGAGCCTGGTTTTGAAATTCGTAACAAACGTTAAAATCTTGAAATTTAAATTATTTTTGATAGAATTAGGGCACTGCGATATTATCAGTTGTGTTACTGGGGCTCAATCTATTTTTTATTTTCAAAAACGAAAATAGAATCTCAAAAAAAAAAAAAAAAAAAAAAAGTTAGGCGAAATTTGAATTTTATTTTGATCATAATTCGTCGGTTGTTAAAGAGGATGGATTTATTCATTTTTAAGTCGTATTGAAGAAGTCGAAGGGTTAATTCTTTTGAGCTTAGTAAATGTTTGGCTCACAATTATGATATGAGTTGGTGTTATGTTATTCTTCTGGCATGTCCGTAGATTTCTAACACTTTCTTATACCTTGATCTTCTTTTTCACCGTATTTGTGTTTGGTGTGTATGAGCATGAATGTTAAGGGTTGAGTCTTTTTAATGAGGTTTAGTTGTATAAATTTGTGTTTCCTTGGAAAAAGTGGCTTTGTGTATAAACTTTCTATGTTCATGATAGTAAGATTTATTGGAATCAATTTCTGTAAACTGATGATGTTTCTTAGAAGATTTGTTGTTATATTTAATAGATTTTCCTAATCTATTAGGAACTAGTGATCTTTCCTGAATATTGGACCAGATAGAAACAAATCTTTCCCACCTTTTTGTTATTGTCTGTGTAGAGAACGTATAGAGTAAATTTTCACTCTAAAATGAAACCTTGGGAGATATTGTTAGGTGTTTGGCTTCTGCTGATGAAATAAATGGAAGCCTTCTAGATTATCTTGTGTGCTATTCTGCCATTGGTAATGTGGAATATGTTTTTGTTTTGGATAATAGGTGTGGCGTGGTGAGACAAAATTGATTGTCATTTCTATATTTTTATTGAATTTTATGAGCATGGAGATGATGTGTTGACTGCTGTTTTGGTGACGTTGGTTTCCAGGTTTCTCTTCTGATGCCCTCACTCCAGGACATGATATGGGTATGATCTCGGACCTCCCAGCTACTGTGGCAGCTGTGAAAAACCCAACTTCAAAAATTACCTATGATGAGTACAATCATGAGCGTTATCCGCCTGGTGACCCCAACAAGCGTGCATTTGCATATTTTGTCTTGACAGGTGGCAGGTTTGTGTATGCCTCTTTACTTCGTCTCTTGATCCTCAAGTTGGTTCTGAGCATGTCTGCGAGCAAAGATGTTCTTGCCCTTGCTTCTCTTGAGGTTGACCTCTCCAGCATTGAGCCTGGGACAACTGTTACTGTCAAGTGGCGTGGGAAGCCAGTTTTCATCAGGCGTCGGACGGAAGAGGACATTAACTTGGCTAACAGTGTTGATGTTGCATCTCTTCGTGACCCACAGGAAGATGCCGCCAGGGTTAAGAATCCAGAATGGCTTATTGTTGTCGGTGTCTGCACCCACTTGGGATGCATTCCCTTACCAAATGCTGGCGACTTCAACGGTTGGTTTTGCCCCTGCCACGGTTCACACTATGACATCTCTGGCAGGATTCGCAAGGGACCGGCACCATATAATCTAGAGGTGCCCACTTATAGTTTCTTGGAAGAAAACAAGTTACTTATCGGGTGAGTGTTAGTAGGGGAGTTCATTTTTTGAGCATTAGTGCTACTGCATGATGTCATAATAGAAATTTTCTTACAGATGAGGGAAGTTTGATTTTGCGAATTTATTTAATTTTCCTTTTGGCTATTTTGTTTGCTTTACACATTTAGATATTCTGTCTGCCGGGAAATCTGGGCAGGAAACTCAGATTCTGAATAATACAACTGGAAATTTATTGAGCGTTTTCAGTTTTGAGGGTACTAAAAGTAAATTCTATTAAATAACGGAATTGTTTTGTTATGTTCTTTACCTTTTTGAAGATTTGGTTGTCGGGTTTTCTTAAATTCGTTAAAGTTGATGTTGTGAATTAAATTTTGACATTGGAGATTTTAGTTTTCGTTAAGGTAACATCCAAGGAAGAAAGTGCCTTACTCTAGTTGTATCATGTTTTTATTTTGTATATTTTTAATTGGAAAACTGAAACTTTGTATTAAAGGAGAAGCCAAATCATGGTGTTCTTACTCTGTTATGGGTGAACTTATGCAATATAAAGGAAAATTTGACTTGCTTTATCTCTTTTAAGAGCTGTTCTAAGTCTATTGCTTAATTTGACTGTTAACAAAAGTTAATTTTGTCCAACTTAAGCTAATCAGCTTTGAGACCAGGCTTTACAAGTGGATTTGAATCTCTAAGCATGCGTTTTATATCAAAAGTTTCATATAGCTGGCATAACCTATCAGTTTGCCCTCCCTGGTTTTAGAAGCTAACAATGTTGCCCCTTTCTTTGCTAACTTTAATGTTTGACTGTAAAGATTGGAAGTGACATTGTTAATTTTCGAAACCAAGTTCGATTTTATTATTTTAATGGTATATGTACAAGCAAATTGACATTAATACTTTTCTTTTGTTAACTTTAACTTTCGACCCTTAAAATTGGGTGGCCACAATCAATTTTGAAACTGAGGGGAAATAATATTACCCAAAGAGTAATACTATGCATACAATCTAATTTCACAATTTTTTCTTATAATTCCAACGTAATACTTGAGTTGAAAACTATCACATTAGCTTGCACCACGTTCAAGACACTAAATGACTTTGATTAAACATGAACGGTCATTTTTTAGGGACGAACGGTCGTTGATTCATAAGGAGTGGTTATTTAATTCATAAGGAACAATTGTTCCTTAGTTTCTTATGAAGGAACTAAGGAACAATCGTTCTTTATGAATGAAACAACAATTCCTTATGAATGAACGGTCATTTGTCCCTAAGGAACCATCGTTCGTTTTTAAGGAACAACCGTTCATGTTTAGTCAAAGCCGTCAATTGATGTCGTAGCGTTAACTCTGCTGTCACGTTAGGATTGTAAGAGAAGATTGTAAGATTGAATTATAAATGTAATATTTTTGTTACAATAAAGATTGGTTGATAAACTTTTTTCACTAACGTTCTCTCACAAACGTGATATGACAACTCACAATTGGTCAGACATGACCTATTGTTGAGCAGACGAGATTCATTACGAGTTGATTAATTATAAACTGTCATATCACATTTATGAGAAAAAGTTAATAAAAAAGGTTTGTCAATGTAGTATTTCCCTTTTTGTTATATAATGACAGAGGGTGACAATGAAAACTTATTTTTCTGATTTATAAAGCTGGCACTTGGTTCAGCATGTTAAGTTATATTATAAATGCTAACAGTACTGAGCGAAAATGAAGATACAGCACAGACCAGGATGGGGTCACCGGAGTCGTAAATTTTGAAGTGTTTATTCATCATATTTATGACTCCGTGAACCATATGAGTCGCATAATTATAACAGTTTGTATAAAAGATTATGGAAATGACACTACTACCACGAGAAGTTGACATATGCATCACAATACATCTTCTCCTGGGGGGAATGTGCACCTCTACAAAAGGTATCCGATTAGTAGCTCTAAATAGATGTGATTTTGTAGGTCAGTCGAACTCAGAAGAAAAAGAGGAATGCTATATCAGTTTGTAAACACAATATGTATTGTTTTAATTTAATAGAGAATGGATTCTTGTTATTCTGACAACGGTACCGAGCACAAAGAAGATGCATGAGTGTATACTCTTGATCCCTAATCAACTATTTTTGATAGCGATACACAATTAAAATGCGAAACAAAATTCATATTTGAATTTTTATTATAATGTCTAGTTCTCAGTGTAAGCTCCAAATTATAGAGCAGCAATAATAGACTTCTCATGGTGTGGTGTCACCAAATTAGCAGTCTTGTATATAGACTAATGGCAGTTTGCCTCCATATATATCTGGAAGCTGGCTTTCATCAATGTCCTCAAGCAGGGTGGACTTCATCTTTTTCTTCTCAACAAATACTATCTGTAAAGAGTCAACAAACTTATAATTAGAGTTTGGATTATTGCAATAATGTATTAGGTTAGGTGAGCTAGCTTTGCTCGGCCTGTAATAGTGGCTTGGATGTATCCAATTTCTTTGATTTAAAGCATTATCAATTTTCTCTACTTAACCATTTCAAGGATTGGATAAGTCAAAAATATTACATTTGGTGTTTCATAATCCGTTACTTATGAGCTCAACGAGCCAGAAAATGTGTTTATAGCAATGAAAAGGCATTGCGTACTTTACCTTCTTTTTGGTGTTGTTGTCGATAAATGGGTAAACAACCTTCCACACGGTCATGAATATGTAAGGCGCGTAAACTATATATAATTTGCCCAGTCTCTCCGGATAGCAATCCTGTCATCAAAATGTTCAATAACAGCAATCAGCTTCTAAGGTGCACGGCTATTTCTGTGATAACTTTGCTACTGATATTGTGATATATGCTTTCCTGTTACCTAAATATATTTACAATGCATATCTAGAAGCAAAATTACAACAGAAGAGGGTGAAGGAGCACTTTTCACTTAATTTTTTAATCAAGTACATCAATAATTTGACATTCCGACAGAATAGTGCAGGGTGGAAGATTGATCAAACCTGCAAGATTGATAAACACGCAACATATCCCCGAATGTCACTGCTGGCATATCCCCATCCATCAAGATCCCCAATGCACACAAACTTTTCCTGCCCCTTCGGCATTCTGAACAAGAAGAAATGAAATACATATAAGCTTAATTCATCCACTAAGTGAATTCAACAATGAAGAAAAGAAATTCAGCCACAGAAATCAATATCATTATGAGAATGAATTACTTGGCACATATTTTTTCCAGACTGTAGGTGACAAAACCTGCAAAAAAATAAAGGAACACAAAGATGAGATGTAAATCCATTTTGGAAAAGTATGTTTGATTCAATTGTGCAGTTACATGACAAGATGAATGAAAAAGAAAAGGGAATTCTTTAATTTCCAATCTAAAATATTTAGTTTCAGACATATAGCATACGCTTGAATTCCTCTATACTTCCTTCATTGGGCTTGTGTCTACCACCGAAGCCGACAACGATAGGGCGCCCCTTCTTATCATGACCTTGCATACAGAACTTGTTATGGGAGAGTTGAGTTGTAATCTCTGATTCCGATATAAAGCCATTGGGAACAAACGTTCGCCTCCAGCTTAGGTACTTCAAAAACATGGTAGAACCTTTCTCTATATCCAAATCACGAGCTCGTAGAAATCTCCGAATCATCAAATCATCAACTTCCTGAAACCACAAGTGATGTGAATGAAATGTGTGAAAAATTGCATACATAGCTTCAAAGCAAAAGGGCATTCATGAAAATTTAGAAACAAAGCAATTCTGATGATAAACAAGGGTGAAGATTATTTTCAAGCATCTGTTACATCTCCATTGAGCTAAAACTGAGAGTTTTGACTCACAAAACACATACTAATGCTGAATTTATGTTCTCATTAACTTAAAATCATGAAATTCAACTCACATTTTCATCACAAATCAAGAAATCCCCCAAAATCAGAAGCAAACCAAATCTAAATGGAAAGAGTTTAGAGCAATATGGCAAAATTTTATCACAATTTAGAAGAAAAAACACTAAACTCTATACTCATTAAGTCATTTTGCTTCAAAAAACTGAAAACAAATTAAAGTAAAAAGCAAGCTCTTCGATCAAACATATAATAAGGAAGAGTAAAAAAATCAAAAAGGGCAATGAAAAAAATAGAGAAAAGAGAACCTTAGAAGAGGGATCTTCTCTTTCAACAAGAGCTCTCATGATACCAACTTTGCTTCTCTCAATCTCATTGCTTTGCTCGCCATTAAACCCTTCCTCCACTTGCTCTTTTCCAATTTCATTTTCAGAGTCTTTGACTTCCATTTCCATTTCTATTTTCCAAAGTTTTTCAACAAACCCAGATGGTGATTTTCATAAACCAGAGAGAAAAGAGAAAGATCTCCCTCTTCCTTGTCCTCTCTCTCTCTCTTCTGAGTGCAATTTATATAATGAATTTCTCAAAGACATAAATGATAGGTAGTTGAAGAAATGGCCCAATTCTCAAATGCATTAACTTCTTGCCTTGACTTGTACTTATTCACTTGTTTGTTGTTTTCCTTCAATATATGATGACTTTCATTTTGATTCACAAATTTTGTACCTATCTAACTTATGTTTAAGCAAAATATAATTTTTACTTAATAAAAAATATCACTTAAGGTGCGTTTGGCGCATCGCACTTGATTGAATTAATTTTTTCGTTCTGGATTGGAATGAACAGAAGTGAATTGGATTGGATTAAATATAATACTGTCATGTGTTTGTTTCAACATTGTACTAAACTTAATAATAATATTTATTATTATTATTTAAAAAATTAAAATTTTGAAATATTTAAAAAATTATAATAAATAGTTTAAATAAAAATTTGAATGATAAAAAAAGTTTAAAACTGACAGTCAATGTCATTGAAATATAGGTTTAATCTCCAATGACATGTTTGAGTTTGACGATACTGCCAGTGCCATTGGAGATTAAACCTATATTTCAATGACAACATAAACTCAGAAGTTGTCAATGAAAATGTTTCTTCGAAAAACACCAAAGAATATTTTGATCACTACTGTTGACGACGTCCCTAAAAGAGTGGTTAGTGACACCGTTGACACTATTGGGTAGAGTTGCCGACAATCAATCCAATCATGGTAATGGGGAAACAATCGATGATTCCTTTTAGCTAAAAAAGCTCATAAAAAAATTCTTCAAATCTTTTCCAACATTTTCCCACTAAACGCTGGCAGTTGCAAGCCTGCAACCTTATCGTTACCCTTAATGTTCTTATATTCAATTATTAGATTAATTATACATACAAGCACACACCATTTTTTAAAACTATTAATTTTCTTAACATATGCCTTAAAGACATATTAAGAACATTTTTAGACAACAAATTTATTTATTTCGATACATATTATTTATAAGAAAATATATATATATATATATATTTATTTTTATTTTTATTTTTTTTACAGGTAAAAGGAGATATATAATAGTCTTCAACAAACGTATTTACGTTTTAAATAAGTGATGGCACATAATATATAAAATTAATTAAATAAATTATAGACATGTAATACTCTCTAATAATAGTGGATCCTCTTATTAACTTTTTCATTAATTAGAAAAAGAGGAATTTTTGAGGATGCAAATGTATTCTTTCAAGAAAAATAAAATTCTTGTTAGTTGTTAGTTGTTCTCTTCTTTGTTGTTTTCCTTCAATTATGGACTCTCTTGTTGACTCACTAGTTTTGTGTACTAACCTCCCTTTAAGGTCAAAGAAATTATATTTATACCCTTCACATAAATCTCTTGTCTTAGTTAATCAAATAATTAGAGATGTGAATAACATTTATCTTTTTACGGGGGAATTCCTTTTTATTTTTATTTTTTTGGGTTGTGAAAGGATATAATGATATTTCATATTTCAAAAATTTTTCATTGACTCATAAATTGGGGAATTTGATGATGTTTTTTTTTTTTTTTTTTACTTAAGATGCTAAGAATAATTTTTTAATATAATATTAAGATATATAACTGTTGTATTGTTTTTTTAATACTATTATTGTTAGTTGTTTAATTTTTATTTTTTTTTAATTTTCCTTCAATTATGACTTTGTTTTTACTCACACGTTTTAGACGCTACCCTCCCTTTAAGCAAGTTCAAAGAAAATATATTTATAGTTTTATACCCTTATAATTTTAGAAATATAATTTTATCTTTTAATTAATTAAATAATTAGAGAAATGAAATAATATTTATCTTTTATTAAGATTATTTTTTTGTGGATTCTAAAGGTGTTCTGAAATTTCACAATTCTACTTTTTTTTGGTCAATTAAAACAAGGGAATTTGTGATATTTTTTGAGTTTTATAGATGCAAGCATATTCTTTCAAAAATACAAACTCTTATATTATTTAATGGTTGTTAGTTGTTCTCTTATTTGTCTCTTTCCTTGAATGACTTTCATTTTGATTCACAAGAAAATATACTTATACCCTCACATTTTAAAATATCAATAAAATATCCTTTTTTTAGTTAATCAAATAATTAAATAATATTGAAATAATAATTAATGATGCAAAGAATCATATTGAAATACAGACTTTGTATTTTTTTAATGGTTGTTACTTATAACTTATTTGTTGTTTCCTTTGATTATGACTTCAAATTTCATCACAAGTTTTATACTCTTTTTAGTTAAGTTTAAGTAATATACATTTCTACCCTTCACATTTTAAAATATTCATAATATATATATATATTTTAACTTGATTGAATAATTAGAGATATGACATCATATTTATCATTCTATAAATAATAATTTTGTTTTGTTTTGTTTTAACATAGTGTATATTAATGAAGTTTTATATTTCTAACTTTTTCATTGATTGGAAATAAAGGAGTTTGATAATGTTTTTGAAATTTAAAGATGTTAAATATATTTTTAGAGAAAATCTATTTTATTTATTTATTTTAATGATTTTCGCTTCGTCTCCTTCACAATAATTTATGGAAGCAATTTTAACTAAGAAAGTTATTATCGGTTATTAGGTAATACTATTATATAGATTCATTTTCATGATTTTCTTTTTTAATTCAAATACTTTCGTATACTTATTGCTATTTATTATTTTCTTTGATTTTTTAAATTTAAAACTACATTCCTATTGAAATCAGGCTTGTAGCTACATAGTGGTTTGTGGGTTCAATTGAACTCACTGAACTTTTCAAAAATTTAAAAAAAGTATTAATAGTTTATAGATTTTACAATTTTAACCCCACTTAACTTCATGTTGACCCCATAAAATAAATTATTAATTAATACTTTTCAATTTTTTTTTTTATTTCTTTTTTTTTTGCTCTCCTATTATATTTTTCCTTTGGTTAGATAATCAAGAAAAGCTACTCTTTTGGATTACAAGGTAAGATGATACTAATTTTAATTTTATTTTTTTACTTAAAATTAATTCTTTTCTTTTAGCTTTCTTAATTAATGAAAGATCATGAGTTACGGGTTTTTGTTGAGTTTAATAAATGAGTTTGAAATAATTCTTAGATTTTGATGTGAGTTTTGATTTAATCTTGTTTATGTTAAGGTATGAGTTAATTAATTGCTATTTTAAGTTGGGTTTGATAAATTAAGGTTAGTTATTGAGTTAATTTTGAATATGGTTTAAAGAACTGATGAAACCCTAAGTAGTAGAGATTTGGGAATTTGGTTTAATTTTGATATATTGGTTAATTGCTTGATATTTAGAGTTAGATTTGATGAGTCTTAATGGGTTTATGAGTTGAATTTTATTGAGTTAGTAGAAATTGTTTGAAAAACCTAAGTTATGAGTTGAATTTTGATAAATTTGTGTTGTTTTTTAATTGTAATTGCAAGTAAATTATATTTCTGATAATAAAAATTCTTTTTTTTTTTTTTTTAGATATGGACAAGTTTTTGATCAAAATAAAGTTTTCTAATGAGGAACCATCAATTGAACAAAACATAAGGCGTCATGATAGTGTTCATAATGAGCGTATGAAATCTAGTTCAATACAAACATATGTTAAGCTTAACTTGAGTAGTCTTCCTACATATCCTGGATTGAGGATTAAAATTTTAGAATATCATCCTAATGATAGAGACAAAGTGAGAAAGACATACTTGCAAAATAGACATTGCCAACCACACAATCATAATTTTAAAAAGCGAGCAATTAAGAATTTAATAAATCGTTTTAATCCCGTTTGATTTAGAGAATATGCAAATTGGTTGGAGTATAGTGTAGAAAATGAGGGTGTTTTTGTTTGTATTGTTATCTTTTTAGATATGAAATTAACTTTGATATTACTTGTTGCAACTGCAAGTGTTGAAAGAGCATTTTCTACGATGAAGATTGTGAAAAATCGACTACGAAATCGAATGAGAGATCAATTGTTAAATGATTGTCTTATTACATATATTAAGAGAGAAATATTTGATGGAATTGTCAATGAAGTAATTCTATAACGTTTTCAAAAAATAAAAAATCGTTGAGAACAATTGTAGAATTGATAATTTAGTATATATAACTTTTAAAAATATATTTTTTATGCTTATTACTTCAGTATATATTTTATTATAAATTTACCAACTTTAATGTTTTAAACCTACTAACTCAAAATCTTAGCTACGTCCCTGATTGAAATGCTCTTAAAAAAAATATGTTTATAATTATATAACATTCTGTTAAAACCGCTTCCCAAAAGTTGAGCTTGGTTACCTACTTTTTAAGTCAAACTAATCATAAATTAATTATAGTTGACGTAACCATCAAACAAAAGTTTTCCAGCCCAAACAAGTAGACATAGCTCATAATTTAAAAAGAAATTTTCAAAATGTCAATGTTTTGTTTAAATGAATGAAATAGTCATAAAATCAAATGAGTTAATCATATTGTTAAATGCTAGACTATCGAGTCTATTACGAACTAGTATAGTCCAACGTTATATGTTAGTGAACATGTCCTTTATTGTTTAATTAAGGGTATAATATTAAATACGTTAAGGGTATAATAATAATATTAATGATCTAAATTAAGTTAGACTACAAGAAAAATGTTACCATAGATAATTGGTAGCATTTATAAGGATGCTGTAGTAGCCCATGTTACTAAAAAGTAGACATTAGTAACATTTTTTGCATGTTACTAATCATTTCGGTTACTACCATAAAATGTTGTTATTAAGTATATTGTAGCACTTATTCTTAGTTACGAATGTTTTTTGGTAACACTGCGTAAATGCTATAAATAAGTTTCCTATAGCATTCTTAACCTGTTACAATTTAGTTTTCTGTAACATTCTCAAAATGCTATAAGTACGTTTTTTGTAACATTCTTAATCTATTACAGTTTAGTTTTCTATAACATTCTCAAAATGCTATAAATAAGTTTTCTGTAACATTCTTAACCTATTACAGTTTAGTTTTTTGTATTCTTAAAATGTTATAGATAACAAATCTATAACATTTTTACAATGAGATTAGCTTTTCTTAACATGTTAAAATGCT